ACTTTATTTTACCAGGTAAATTAACTGAAGACCAGTTCTCACTGCTTTACGTGATATTCGGGAGAAATAGCAGATTACGTATCGGAACTGCCTGGGATCTAAACCCTTCAACTAAACTCTTCAGCCAATAAGGGCAAAAATGTGTCGTCACGGAGGCGGTTCCAGTTTGTGCAGCCAGGTGAGAGGTCGCAATGCATCTAACCGTAATGCATTGCGTCAGGATCAGAATGCGTTGCTTTAAGCCAGCGCTGTAAGTGAGTTGAATGCACCCAATGACCGGATTGGGCTAACAAACTGAAACGCGGACTTAATACAGAGGACTAATGACAACAACCAGAAACAGCTGATCACATGGGGATCCCACACGAGGTTAACGAGGGGGCGTGGCATACGGAAGGAGCGGACGATCGGAGCAGGACAAGGGTAATGTTGGGATAAGATCTTTATCGTTTTGGAAGCCATTAAGAAAAAAATGCTCTTCCTGTTTTATCCTGTTCATTTTGTGTTTAAATGCTTAAAAAAACATATTTAGGTGTAATTTTGGGGGGCTGGGAACCAATTAATTGGATTTCCATTATTTCTTATGGGACAAATTCAATCAGAACTCGAACTTTTTAGGATTCGATCTGGAGTCCGGAACAAATTAAGTCAGCAAGCAATAGTTAGATAAACTGGATATTCAAGATTTTGTGTTGAAGATGTCATAAAGAAACTGGGCAAGCTGAAGACAAAAAACAGAGCAGAAGACTCAGAGAGCTGTCTGTGCCTGAGCAAAGGTCACTTCTTTAAGGTACAGAAAGAAATTCAATGATATTCTCACTCAGAATCAGAGTCATCTGGTACCAAGTCATGCTTCAGCTGTGAAAAGTCTTCTACAAAATATTTTTACCTTTTTTTCATAAAGGTAACAAGTAGACGAGATTTCAGTATGTAAAATACCATAAAGCATGGAGTGGCAGAGGGTCTTATAGGCTTGCAGCCTTCTGTCAAGAACTCTGTACCTCAACTGAGGCTATGTCGGATCACTTGGATAGCAAGAAGACTGCAAAGCAGCCAAAGTCGAAAGAAGAGCTCTGGCAAGTGCTGAAAGAAGCTTAGAGGAAATTTACCATAAGACTATTTGAAAACATTATACAGCAAGATATCAAAGTGAATTGCTCCACTATTATCTTCAAAAGACCAAACAAGCCTCCAGAAGACTGAAAGCAACATTTTCAGCCATTTAGTCCTCAACATTTTTATTTGAGTGCAAAGCAGATTATTCCACAAAAGTAACAGCTTTACACATCTGAAGTTGTATTGCAATTAAAATGAAATACAAAAAACTATTAAATATCCATTTATTAATGTTTTTGCCTAATAAATTAATACAATAAAAACTGTCCACTGTACATAAAACAAATCAAAATGTAATCTTTCTTTGATTATCTATGTTAATTTGCTTTTAAATTCTATTTTTATGTTACTTTTTAAAAATGCATTTATACACAATATGCCTTGTACTAGATAAGTGGTACTGAAAATCCATCCATCCATCCAAGAAACTTGGAATGTCACATGCAGACAGTACCATGGTTGGCAGACATTGACAAGCCCTGACTTACTCAAAGTTCACGTATTACTTCAGTACTGGTCCATTGCAGTCATTTTCAGCTCTTGTAACTCATGAGTAGCATATCACTGTCAAAATCAACCCCATTATAAAATCAATCTCTGACCAAGGATCTTCCTATTGATCTCTGCCAAAGCCACTGAAAACACAAAAGCTTTCTCATCTGAGAGACTAGCATAAATATCAATGTCCTTGTCTTGCTTTTCTGTAAGGGAGGGAGATGATATTATGTGAGATATAGATTGATGAGAAAGACAACATTGCAAAATGTAATATAAGGATACAAACATATGACATGAAATTGATAGCAGGACTTATGTATGACTTGAGTTGGAGTGTAAGAGATAATTTAATTCAACTAAATTCAAAAAGTTGTATTTGTCCCCAAGAGGGAATTAAGAAAGCACCAGGTAGCCCAAGGCTTTTGAATGTTAGCATTGTAAGCTTAATTATACCTCATGATGACCACACTTTCACAGGTACCTATCTCACTAATCTCAGTAACCACACCAATATTACTTATTTATATTTCTGACAGTGATATTTTAGCTATTCTATGAAAGCAGAAACAAAACAAACAGTCAGCCATCTTGTTTTATGCTGGTGTTTGATTGCTATTTTTCACCAGTTATTCAGTTTGCAGTGTAGTGTCGAGCACAGTAACGTCAGAGATAATCAATCTGCTGTTTATTCAACTTCAATCAAAAGAAGGTAATATATGCATTGCAATAAATTAAATGCATTGTTTTCATGTGTTTATATTGCATTATTGCAACAAGCAAGTAGCCTGTTTTACTACAGGGCTATGGGCTAAGACACAAAAAACCAAGTTAAATAAGCTGGAGAATGGAGAGAGGAACTTCATGTGTCCTAGTTTTCATTAGTCAACTGTAATTTCTAAATTTAAAATGTTAGATTTTCAATATTTCAAATTTTTACGTTACGTTAATTTTCACTTTTTATGACCTATTGACCTGCAATCTGCATGCATTGACAGTCTGTTTATTGTTTACGTTTACAGCTTTTCTTGCATTTTCCCACTGTGCCATGCCATTGCTATGTTTGCTAATTAATATTATAACTATTTGCCTGATTGCAGAGCAGATGGACTTTAGCGACTGTGACACCACAGAACTGTGTATTAAAACCGAGTTTACAGGTTGACTATAAGAATCACATTTAACTATAAGTGTTAGTGCAGTACACTGTACAATTTATTGCAAATAAACCATTATTACATGTTCTATCTATGTTCTTGAGCATAAACAAATTGTCTAATTGGTAAATATACTGTGTATAACATCATCCATTTTGTGATATAAACTAAAATGTAGATGGGCGACCTGTAAACATTACACAGTTATGAAATAATTTGGCACACATTAACTTTTGACCACGTGGAACAAATTTGGAGGGTGAGAGTAAAGAATTTATGATTTTTTTTTCTCATAGTACCTAAGTGACACCCTACTGAACATTCCATTTGGCTTTAATTTTCAGTTCTTTTGAATAAAACACGTATGGTCAAGACTGCGTGGTTTGATACTGTTATGATTCTACTTAAATCATTTTTTTAGGAAACCTCCCACTGTTTACATTAAGAAGCAAAATGGAAACTGCAAACTGTAAAGAGTGGATTTGGCTTTGTGTAATGTTTAACAGTCGTTTACCTCTCTCTTCCTCTTGCTTCTTGTGTGCAATGGTTTTGGGCCGTCCCCTCCCTCTTCGGACCTGCTCACATTGGCTGTTTGAGCGGGACTGCCTTCTCTGCTCTTTGTGATTGGCTGAGGTCGAACTAATCTTCTCTGCTTGTATTCTTTCTGTCCTCCTCCTTTTAGCATCTAGCCTATCTGTAAAATTGACCATCACAAATGAACAGTTTAATCTTTAAGAGGAGAAAACTATTTCATATATCAGGCAATCCAAGACAATGTTTTTTGTATGTTATCTAGACAGTGAGAGATGATTAAATGTATCTACATGATTGTTAATGTTCCTTCTTCAGAACTATGCATTATTCTCTGAAAACACTGGCAAATATGTCTTTAATCATTTTAATGACTAATAAACCAGTTTGTCCAGTTTTTAATTATTAAAGAATCTTTTGAATCATATGAGACTGTATGAATGAACACCACATCATAATACAACTGAACTAGAAGGATCTGTGTAAATATCTTGATAAAAATGTAAACGCATAACTTGTTAGAGTCAGAGGTTCGTATGCTTAAACAAACACGCAGCATATACACACAACACAGAAGCACGTATATACGACTTTTATAACTGAAAAATACATGAATGAATATCAAATAATCTATCTACATAATATAACGTATTGTAGACCAATAACATTTATGAGCTCACTATGACAGCGATATAATATAATGGGGCCACACAGAAAAGGAAATGGCAGAAAGTAAATCTCTGAGTGGGGTGCGCTCATTGGTCTGACTGAAATGCAAATGTTTAATACATAGCAGGGAAAAATTCCTCTAATTTCTTGTATTTTTTCAAAGGGAAGAAATGTGGAACATTAAAGAATAATTTTTATTGTCATCTTTGTTGCCTCTATTCAGTTAAAATTAACATTCTAACCAAATAGTTGGAAATAATTCACACAGTGATCTTTCTCCTCATATTCACTTGGAAAGGAATACTAATATAATCAGTTTCAGTCCTGAATATTTTTTTCCAGCTATTGCTCAACCACTTATTTTGATGAATTTGTGGATTGAGAAATATTTTAGTGACCTTATCATATAACAATTGTGCAGATCCACTAAAGTCAAAACAGAATCATGCGATGAGATAAACAAAGACAAACTAAGGACCAAAACACAGAGAATAAAATATGGGTTTTAATGGAAAATATACCAGTTAAGCAGGAAGTTTTAATACATGCTGAAGTTACGCAGCTGAACTCCAAAGGGGCATAATTTAGTGTGTGTGTGTGTGTGTGTGTGTGTATATATATATATATATATATATATATATATATATATATATATATATATATATATATATATATATATATTAAAATCACTACTTCTTACCCAATGTGGTTGATGATCTCTCAGCCTGTTTAGCATTTAGGAGTTTTCGGCTAATAAACACATAGCCACAGTGACAAGACTTGCAGGCTACTGGAATCTAATAATGAACAAACAGCGTTTAGTGATATGTCTGTGTATCAATGTAACATATAAAGTTACCGGGAAATGTATCACGGCATTTATTTGAATATTTTATTGCATTACAGGCAGGTATAACAATTCTCGTTCCACCCAGCTTTCTTTGTAATGTCGTTGAGAGTTTCCCGGAATATGACATGAGCAGTTTCCAATAAAAATAAAACGATAACTGAGTAGGCCTATGAGAACATTTTAAAATATCGATACAGCTTCATGTACGTAGAGCAGAATACTTAAAATCGGCGGTAAAATTAACACAATTCTGCATTGCTTTTGTTGGCCGCTCATTTTCATAATCCTTTTCTTTATATATACACCACTCACACGATGTATCGCAAGGAAGTGATCCGTATTTGTAACATAGTCTCGCACTGATGTTTTTCTTCGCTGTACTATTCATGAAATAATAGAGGAAATACAACATGTTTCAAACTATTTCAAGACAACGATTACGGGTTCCATGTCCCAAATCTCCTGCATCAAACATACATTATTTTAAATAAATCGCTGTTAACGACGCAAACACGGACAACTATTTTATTACAATAAAATAAAACAAAAATGTAACATACTTGTGCATATATTCTTACCTGTTGATCACAGTCAGGACATGATTTAGTGGCCATTTTCACTTTCTTTGATTTATTTGTCGACATGCTAAATGTGATTTGTTACAGTCCGGTAATCACCCTCTAGGTTTTTGACAAATATATATAGAAATTTAAGGCTGAGCAAGCAGTAAGGTAGGCAGGCAGGCGCGCTAATACACACACACACACACGCACGCACGCACACACACACACACACACACACACACACACAGTACCAACGTTACTAATGATCATGCGCATTTGAGGAAGTGAGATGTTTGATTTCTTCCTTTTCCATATATCAGCATTGAGCATGCGCGATCCTTCAGCAGGGAAAAAGGGCAGAGCAGAGATAAGAAAAAACAGTAAGGACTTTCTGAACTGTTTTATATTTTGATTCAGTACAGACTATGCATACAGATTACATACTTCATACTTATGGAATATATATTTGCAGCAGTCATACAGTTTTACAGAAATTTACTGACATTTCTCTTAAAATTAACCTTCGTAAGTTTCCAGACGTGCATTTTTAGGTGCAATAAACTTTCAAGGTAAATTAATCTAAAAGTTTAAAATAATCAATTTAAAGAAATTTTAGAACGAACTTTTCATCACGAACAGAAACAATTGTCAGTGCTTATTGTCATATTGTCTTAGATGTGTATGTTTAGTGTTGAGTCAGATGTCTGAGCTTTACAGACTATGTTAAAATATACAGTATACTCTGTATCTGGAAGAGATCACTTAGGAACAAGAATTTTGCTCCTCACAGAAGTATCTACCTTAAGTAGTAGCAATTTTTAAATTCTTATGAAATGAGTGTTGCCAGACACAATAAAATATATTGGACATTAGCAAATATGTGATTTAAAAATTACTTTATGCATTAATTGAAAGTTAATACTAAACATAAAAATAAAAGCTTTCTTAGTATGTAGTTTGCTATGTTTGAAACAACTGGTCATGAACAAATTGGAGTAATTGGTTTGTCTGTTTTTGAATACTGTCCCCAACTGATGGAACATTATGACCCCATCCCCCCAATTAAATTACTTGGTCATGGAAGTGTAAAAAAAAAAAAAATAGAGAAATATATTCTCAGATTCCAAAATTAAGGGATAGATAAGGAAATAATTACTGACTTAATGTAACAATTATAATTAAACTAGAGTAAATACTGGTTTTACAAAATCAAACCATCCTCCCATTTTTTTTTCTTTTTTTTAACTACCTCACCTTCAAAATTTAAGATTTAAATTAATAAATTTATGCAGGAGCTTCTTATACAGAGATCACATTCAGGCAGAAAAACAGAAAAGAGAACCATAGAATCCAATTAACACATGACAATTTATTGTACAAGTAACATGAACAAACATGTGCATCAACACAGAAATCAATTACAATATCTTCAAATGTTCAACAGCAGGTGTCAAGAGTTTGGACAATGCACTTTTCAGTAACAATCTGATTTATCAGGATATGTCCAGGGCTAATGAATGTAAGCGTTCTGCTATGCTGAGGAGGAGAACACAATATGACAGCAGCTTTGACATCCTCCTTTGAAGAAAAAAAACAACAGTATTTACATTATTGGCTCAATTTTGGTCAAGCAACTGGTCAGCACTACACAAAAGCTGAAGGAAGGGAGAAGGGGGAAAGGAGGAGAAAAACAAAGTAGGACAAAAGCTTACTGCAACACTGGCTTATCTCCACCCAAAGCAGATGCTGGAGTCAGTTTAAACAGCTTTGAGAAGAAATGATAGCTTTGCACGGACTTGCTTATAACAGCTGAAAACTATGACAATTTATTTCTAACAAACAGCCCATTGTCATGAGTGCACAAAAAGATGGGTGGTGCAGTTCAAGAAGCAGCAAACATCTGCTGCATTTGAAGAGCCAGCTGAATGACAACAGGTTTAGTCAATTACATATAGGCTGGTTTAAAAAGTGCACACTATGACTAGAATGAATAAACCCCAAGCAGCCAATGAGCATACAGGTTCTCTCTCACCCACATTTCAAAGGAAGCTGCTAATATTGTGTGGCTTATGCCACAGCACTTACTGTACAGCAAAAAAAAGATGTTTAGGGCTTTGTAAAATGACATGCGATATTGCTCAAATTTTGAACATTTCTTTCAGCTTCATAATCTGACAAGTATTTATGCATAGACCCCCGCCCCCCACCCCCCGCTTAATGTTACAAATGTGTTCCTGTGTTACAGGTTTGAAACATTATACCAGCTTTGAGGCCAAGTGATGAAGATTGACAACTGCTTCCACTTTATACACGTTTATCCCCAACCCCATTTTAAAATGCAAAGGGAATTTTAAAAGTCTACAGGGGAAATTAGTGGTTTAAAACAAAAAGAAAAACAATAAGTAAATTATACTGATAGACAGTGAGGTTTTTCCTCTACGAATCATTCAAATGTGCCAAACTTTTAAATTAATTCCATACCAAAAAAAAAAAAAAAAGATTTAATCTAACTTTTTTTAATTGGTTCTGGACTGCCTATAGAAGACAGAATGCAAGAGTACTGGGGGCAGCACCAGATATTTGATGGAAAGGTACAAGGAGTTGCAGAAGTAAAATATGTTAAATTCAAGCCACAAAGATCTGGAAATCCATTTCCTGTGCATTGTGATTTTACTACTGGTGGGCACACTGGACTCCAGGTCCATGGTGACCACTCTCCTCATCTGAGCTGTCGTTATACGCCTCCCGCCTATGTCCGCCAGAAGTGCCTTGACTCATGTCAAAGTCCAGGAGGTCGACCTCCTCTGCGTCTCCAGAAACAATGGGCACCTCAGCCCGGGCAGGCAGCAAGTCTTCCAGTTCCTGAAATTAAATTGAAGTATTACACAACAGGACAAAACCAGGGGTTCCACAGTACAATGTGTATCTATAAATAAGCTAATGAAAGGAAATATCAACTGCAAAAGGTACACACAATTCAACACAATAATAAAAATGAGAAGTCTGCAGGGAGAACAGGCAATGCATCACTCTCCGGCAAGATGTTTTAGCTGTCTCTCTGTATCTTAATGTTCACTGCTACTTTTATTTATTGTTCTTTAGAGTTATGTTGATCAAGTCAGAGAGGTACGCAAGCAAATAAGTCATTGTGCTTCTGCAAATGACAGCTTTTAAATCCTTCAATTATAGTAGACACCAACAAAATTAAATTCAGTAAACCATACAAGCTTATAATTATAACCTTAAAATACAATGAGAGACTAAAACTTTTCAGGGGGGCAAGCATCCCTATAATACTCACAGAAAGCTTCTCTGGGCTGATCCAGTTGTTATCTGGGAATTCCACTTCAAATTTAATATACAGATCCCCCTTTTCAAATGGATTACGATACTGCGGCATACCTTCACCCCACACTACTCTGACAGAACCTGCAAAGCAAATAGTATTGTGGGAAATCAACTCATTTAATAGACTATGACCAATTTAAAATGGCAACCCTCACAGCAAAGTACTTGTTCAACAAAGGGAGGAAAAAATCTCACAGAGGTCATCAGTGCCAAACATACCTGGCTCAATTACTTTACCAGCAGGATACTTCACAACAATCTGTCTGCCATCTAAATGTTTCAGTGTGAACTGGAATCCACAAAGTGCTTCAACAAGGCCGATTTTGTGAGTCATGTGCAAGTCATTGGCATCTCTTTTGAATGTCTGGAAGAAACATTACACGCTTTAAGCCTTAAAGCCACAGTTCAATTAGGAGGAAATATTCCACGACAATCAAATCAGAATCTAAGACATTAAGCAGAAAGCCCATCAAACATAGAAAGTTATATCTAGTATAAACCACACTGTATTCATCTTGAAGATGACACCACTCCATTGCTTTCAAACAATAAAAAATATGCTTGTTAACAGGCTGTGGTTTTCCATGTTGTATCCAGTCAAATTAGTACATCTTGCTTCATATATATATATAGAGACACACACACACACACACACACACAGTAAAATCCCGTAATAGTGGACTCGCTTATAACAGAATATTGTCTATAACAGACGAGGTCCCCTGGTCCCGGCTGTCCGGCTTTAAGAACATGCAGAAAAAGCATCGTATATAGCAGACTCGCATGTAACGGAATTTCGCTTATAACGGACAAAGAATTTGGTCCCCAGGGCCGCTTTTAGCTGTAGGTTTGTTCGGCTATAACGGACATGCAGGCTCCGGCCACCAAGGTGCGTGGCGTGCTGGTGATATCCAGCACAGATACGTAGTCGGGATTAACAACAGTCATGCATCTGGTCAGGTAAAGTTGGATTACTACATGTACAATATAATAATCTATACCACGTGTGTCTGCTGGGGTGTGGCATGAGTAAATGGTGTCCTGTAGTTGTGTTCTGGGCATACAGCAACTCTGGATATAACAGACTTTAGATATAACGGACTGTTTTGCCAGGCCCCTTGAAGTCCCTTATAATGGGATTTTACTGTAACAGCGAATTTATAAAGCCAGTGTCACAAATCTAGCTGAAAGGTAACTTATTGTATAATGATTAAATTCTGAAAATTCTCGTTAAAGATAATGGCAAAGGTTTAAAACTTGCACTTTAAACAGCGTCCTGGGTGCCACCAACATGTTTTTCCTCTAAATATCCCGAAGCAGGCTCAGTCTGTCGGTGACAGGGAAATAAAACCCTGCCCCAACTCCATCACTCTGATGTTCCAATTTAATGTATTCTATCGGACAAACTAATGGCATAGATCAATAAAACTAATTTTATCAGTACAGGTATAAATTTACAGCTCAGGACAACAGTGCACTGAGCTGCCAGCACAGCCTGCACTGTCCCGCATGATCACCGATGACATGTTTAATTTCTAAAATTATGTGGAAGAAATACAGGAACTGCTGGCACTTCTCCAAGTCTTGGTTTAGAATTCCAATTCAAGCTTTAACTGAAATATATCCAGGTCATGAGAACGAGAAGGTTCTGGCTGCTTACATCAAAATGAACGCAGGGCTTACAGTAATATATAACTGTACCTCGTGCTCCTTCTCCTGCAGGACAAGGACAATATCTCCAGGTTCAACTCCAGGTGCCTGGTCGGCCTCCCCTCCAAAGGTTATTTTTTGACCATGCCTCATGCCTTTGTCAACATGAACCTCCAGGATTTTTACTTCTTTCACCACTTTCTTCCCCTCACACTTTTTACAACGGTCTTTTTCATTTATAACTTCACCTATAAGTGTAACGAAACAGGATTCAGCTTAGGAGTCAAGGCCATTCTACTACCATGACAACAGCAAAATGTAATCAGCCTGAACAATTTATGATTTCTGAGGTTTGAAATTTTTTATATGATCCAAAAATCCATTCCCTCTAGAAAGCATCTACATTTCAGCAATCAGCAGTCTTACCTTCACCATTACAATCAGTACAGACAGACTGCATCTGCTGGACCATACCAGGACCCAGCTGTCGGATGATAATGCGCATACCCCGTCCCCTGCACGCCACACATTTCTGAACAGCTCCGGTCTTACCCCCCTGGCTGTGAAAGAAACAATGAAACAGAGAAATAAATGAATGAAACAAGTCAGAGAGATAAAGGATTTGGGCAGGCCTGGAATACAGCCTCGCACACAATTCATTGACCACATTGAATACAACCTCATCAAGTTTGTAGAAAACTACCTGAATAAGCTTCCTAGCTAAAGAGGTGAGCAAAAAGCTTCTCATGCCATGATATAACTGGCTTATTGCCCAGATATGTCCCCTCAGCGAGTTTAAAACATTTGTTAATTAAGGAACATTTGAATACTTGAAATAAAAAAAACAAAACAAACAAAAAAAACAAATGCAAGCATTGCTTATGGGGTTTATCTATGCACTGCAGGAGAACTAATGACCCACAGCATTCATGCCAAGATTCCACTGCAATTTTTATGAAGTACCAGAGCCTGAATTTAACAGTGTTTCTAGCACAAAATGCCATGTCTTTACATACCCGTTACAAGTGTTACACAGAACATTCTTGCTTAGTTGCAGTTTGGTTGTTTTTCCATTATACAAATCTTCAAGAGAAACCCTGCCCAGGGCACAGATAATTTAAAATGAGAAACACCAAAACATAAGCATTTAAAACACCTAACGAAAGAAAAAACAGTTACACATTATACAACTTTTACACTACAGATGCTCCCCGAGTTACGATAGTTTTATTGGAATGTAAACCCATTGTAAGGCAAAATTTCATTTTAATACAGTAAACCTAACAAAATAGCCTAGTTTAGCTTACTGTAAGCATGTCTAGAACACTTACATCAGACTACGTTTTGACAAAAGCATTAACATAAGGCTATTTTATAATAAAGTGCTGAATATCTCATGTAATGTATTGAATAATCATTCCCATCAAAAAGTCAAAATATCATAACATGGACCATCATAAACCAGAAAACGTCTGTAAATATGTCTCTCTCACACACACACACACACACACACACACACACTAGGGCTGGGCAATATAGCTGTAAAACACTCGATATTTTATGTCACAGTATCGATATTCGATATACATTGATCTCAATTCTTAAAAAGTCAGTGGATTATGGTTTTAATTTATTCAAATCAATGTTTCTTAACTAGAATCTCTGAACATATGAAAATTAGAAAAAAAATTTAATTGCCTGAAATTTAAACAAAGATTTAAATTTAAGTATTTAACAGTTAAACGCTTATATTCAAAATGAGTGTTTGCAGCAATAGTACTATTTTGTTTCTCTGCTGAACTGTTTCACATGAACCAAAAAAATTGCTAAATGAAGTCAAATTGCATCCAGATTGTGAGGCAAACAAATGTGCGTACTGCAAACAAAGCCACCTATGTACTGCAAACAAATTAATGTATGGAGAGATTTCTCTTTGGAAAGTTTTTACTATATATATTTGAAATAGTTTTTTCCTTTGTATTTTGCTTTTCAGCACTCACTTTTCTTTATGGCACTTCTGCTGCACTTTGCAGTACATCTTTCCCTTTGCATTTCAATATCTGGCCTCTTTTTGATGTGGTGTGGCTGGACAGGGCTTTGTGGGGGTGTCCATCACTACCCAATCCATACCAAGTGCCTGATTTGTAGCTTGCATGTCTGCTCATACACAGCGTTTTTGAATAGGTGTTCACCATCTGGCACAGCCTGTGCATACAACACGTCCTGGCACTACCTGATTCATTCGTCCTGCCATTTTACAGAAAATCGTATTGTCTACATTTACAATAGATAAAATCAATAGATACATTTTTACATATGAAATGGCTTGATAATGTATCAAATACCATATAAAAATTCACTACATCACACAGCCTTCTCACACACACACACGATCTGATCAAAGACCCATTGGAAAACATTATCCAAGATTAAATTTAAAGTTCCAATTTACATCAGACCTTTAAAAAAAAAAAGCTAGGAATATTTTTATTGTAAGAAGTTTGAACGAGCAGATAATGTCTGTTATGGGGAAGGAGAAACAGCGGCAAGACAAACATCAATTAGATGACGGGAAATTAAACTGCCTATGGCTCACTTGAGTGGATGGACCATGTCTTCCCCCCGACGTCTTCCACCGTTTCGGCTTCTAGCCTGTCCTCCCATGAACCCAAACAGTCCGCCTCCAAAGATATGTGAGAAAATGTCATCCATCCCTCCACCGCCTCCACCACCTTCCCGAAGGCCCTGCTCTCCATACCGGTCATACAGCTCCTTTTTCTCTGGGTTGGTGAGCACTTCATAGGCAAAGCTTATTTCCTTAAACTAAATTGAGAATAACAGTCATTGTCAAAAGCTGGGCTAATTCATGTTTGGAAGGAAACTTCTCAGGAAAAAACACAAAGGTCTGACCTCTCAATATCATATTAGATTCTTAGGGGGAAAAAAAACAAGCACACTAACATAATTACCATTTTAACAAACACAATCCTTCTAAATTTATTAGTATAACCTACTTTTCAGAATCTGCACTGCTACAATTTAAATAATCAGGATCCCCAGTGTAAGCCCATAAAATAAGATGAAAATTAGACACTAATTTAAGCACACTTCTAATGTGACTTTGTGAAGAGGCCCCACACCAAAAACAACGTGATGATATAGAATTAGTTTGGCGTTTTAAGAACATATAAATGGGTACATTTAATCACCAAGTAATACCGATGCTTCCTCTAATAACTTTTGCTTAAGCCGATTTAAACGGCACACTTCAAATCATAATCAACAAAATGAAAAAAAATGGTTTGGTTTTTCCACTACCCAGGTTAACATTTAACCCGTTAAATAAACAATAAACCTACAATACAAATCAGTACCTTTAATCACAATGTATCATCACAGATTTTACACAGACGATGTTAACTAACCACTGGCTTCACATTTAACTGTAGATGCTGGTAATAAATTTAAAATAAAAACAAGAACCATTCAGAAATTATGCTGGTTTACCTTGTCTCCAGCGTTTGGATTTTTATCAGGGTGGTACTCCTTTGCTAGCTTACGGTATGCCTACAATGAAAAATACATATGCATTTCAAAACTGTCCGAAATATGTTAGCTATAGCAATGTCTTCTCTTGGACGACAGAGTTCAAGTCACAGATACAATCAAAATATTTTTCCAATCAAGCGCAACCGCTAAATAAACCCAATTCACACAATACGTTTACAAATTTCGACGTTTATTATAAGGGTCCATTTACTAATGTCATGATCTACTGTAACCGCGAACCACAGCACTTTAACTCCAAATCGCTTTTTATAACATTCTTAATTTAATACCGAAATGGTCCATGATTGTACGTGTTAACAAAGCCCAGGTTAAATTATTTAGAGAAATGTTTTGGTATCTATGACTTAGACAAGCTCATCACAGTCTCATCAGATCAACTTTTTTGCTTTTAATTTTTAGACTTTTAGACATCTGTAAATGTGTGCAAATAGCTGGCTAACCAAGATAACCCATAATCCCACCAACAATGCCATCGTCAAGTAACATGCCAGTTAGAACACCAGCTTTTAACAAATCACCAACCGGTAGACACACTGCTAGCTGTCTTCGCAGTATAACCGGAGGCTAGCTGCTTAGCTACCAAATGCTACATTCTGAAACGAGTCGTGCAAGGTAAATAAAAAAACGTATTACTACGAAACCAAGCCACAGGCGGCAATAACCGCCAAAAGAACACGAACAACAATAAGTAAAAGGAGTAATAAAAACGGCAACCTATGCAAACCTGACTTTGCCTTAGCTTTTCCACCTGGGCCCTACACAATATATGCGTAGGCCCCGCTAGTAAAGCTACTAAATGCCCCCTTCCCTAATTCCTTAACCAGCTAGCCGGCTGGCTTTGTCACTCAAGTGACTTAAGCTGAAGAGCTTCGGACAAGAAAGCCACCTATCAATACCTTCTTCAGTTCGTTTTCAGAGGCGGACGGGGAAACCCCTAAGATGTCGTACAGTCTGGTGTCCGCGACGTTAGCCATGGTGGCGTTAAGAGGTGGACTCTCGGCTTGCTAAACGGAGGAGGACAGAAAGAGGAGCCGGCCGGAAACTTCATACGCAATGGGTCAACTTTAACCTTTCTGCGTCACACACACAACAGCCCCTCCCCCCACTATTAAGTACAGTATGTGCACAAAACATGAATTAGTCTTCCGATTGCGTCACATAATAATAATAACAATAGTAATTAGAACAATAATATTAATAGGAATAATAATAATAATAGTAATAATAATAATGTTGCTGCAAATCTGGGGAATCTGTGCAGTGAGGGCACACTGCATTGGGGCGATACTATGGGCAGTACTATACATTAATGCTTGAAGTATATTATGAACTACTTCAGGTAGTACTAAGTATTCTTTATGGCAGTAATATTTTAAATATGGAAACAATAGTAATCATTACTAAATGATGATTATTAGATCTGTCCTTAACGTGTGGTTACAGTTCAGGTTATTATGATGTACATTAACCAAACAAAATACAAGACTTTTGGCTATTTTTTTTAATTATTGTATTCATAAATTTTTATGAAATTGGATTCTCCCTTGTGGGGTCTGGAAAAATGTCCCCACAGGGTAAAAACTACTAGGTTTTTATAACTTTGTGGGGACACGCACACATACCACATAATCGCACACACATATACATACATGTACACACACTCACTATACCAAAGTTACTTCTGAGGGGGCACCAACTTGCCAGCCAATTTCACATTGCCTCGGGGTTGTTAACTAGGACTGGTTCTGCACAGTGGGGTCCAAAAGTCTGAAACCACTTTGAAAGTCTATGAATTTTAAATTAAGTTTTGGCATGGGCAAAGACATACCAGCATTTCACGGTGAATCACTGGACAAAAGAAAAGTATCAGCCCATTCTTTAGAGGCATGCTATACCCTCTGGTTTGGATCTTCCGGTGAGTAGGATTCATACTGCAGCAGGATAATGACCCCAAACATACCTCAAAGGTCTTTGAAGAGCAGGAGTACTAATTAAGCAGCAGTCACCTGACCTCAACCCCATCAAACATTCATGGGGGCACTAGAAGACTGAGCAAGCCAAGCATGCAGTGACATCACATGATCTTTAGAAGATTCTCAGATCAAGCTGGATAATATGGATCTTCAGGTTTTCACAAACTCCTGGAGTTCATGGCAGCTCAATAAGCAAAGGGGACAAACTGAAAATTATTTACACTTTTCATTCAAATTGCTATGCTGATAATATCAGTTGTAATGAAGAGTTTTATGTAAATTCAATTCAATTCAATTCAATAAAAAAAAACTTTATTTTTCCCCTAGGCACACAGGGCAGTTGAACAAGGACACAATGATGTAAAGTGCAACAGTAATTACAGTATTTGGAAGGTACTGTGCAAAATTGCAGTCAATCAGGTAGATGAGAACTGAATAAGTATGTAAAAGGGAGGGATTATTAGTGGGCATGGGGGGGTGGGTCAAGTGCAAAATGAATGACGGGTTCCAGAGCAGGAAGGCAGAGGGGAAGAGAAGACTGTGAATTGAGGAGTTGAACCACCCTGGGAACAAAGGTGGCTCTCCTCCTCTGTGTCCACTCAAACTCCGGGAGCAGAGCATGGGAGGGATCCTGCAGCCGGGTCAGCGGAGCCGTCGTCCTGAGGAGAGCCACTCAAACTCCGGGAACAGAGCATGGGAGGGGTCCTGCAGCCGGGACAGAGGAGCCGTCGTCCTGAGTGGAGCCACTCAAACTCCGGGAGCAGGGCATGGGAGGGGTCCTGCAGCCGGGACAGCGGGGCCGTCGTCCTGAGGGGAGCCGCTCAAACTCCGGGAGCAGGGCATGGGAGGGGTGCTGCAGCCGGGACAGTGGAGCTGTCATCCTGAGGGGAGCCACTCAAGCTCTGGGAACAGAGCATGGGAGGGGTCCTGCAGAATCCTACACGTTGTTCTCAGAGTTTGCTGCTCACTCAGGGATGAAAGTGCTCTGACAGGGAGTCCGATGATCTTAGAGCAGACTTTAAAGCAGGCAGGTCCTGTGCTGCAGACTGGTGGAGTGATACCTGCAGGCGATGGAGAAAAAGAGGACACTCTCAATGAAGGAGTAGTAAAAGGTTCTGAGTATGACCTTGTTGACCCCAAAGCTGTTGAACTTCCTTAGGAGATATCGCCGCTGCTGAAATCTTCTTAGAATGCCCTCGGTGTTGGAGGCAAACTTTAGGGTGCAGTCGAAGATAGTGGAGGTGGTGGAGGAGTAAACTGTCTGCCCGTGGATTATGCTGGGAGATCCTGTCACCAGCTCCCTCTGTTTACTAGAGAGGGTCACCACCATGTCCTTGGTCATCTCCACGTTTAGCTCCAGGGAAGCATTGTCACACCACTCCACAAACTCACTGAGCACTGACCTGTGGTGATGTGAGGAGCCAGAGAGCAGAGACAGGAGAATTGTGTCATCCACGTACTTCACTAGATGACAGTCTGGGTGGGAGGACCTGCAGTCATCGGTGTACAGGATGAACAGAAGAGGTGACAGGACGCAGCCATGTGGGGGGAGCCCCTAGAGGTGATGGAGAGGTCAGAGAAGGTGTTGTTGACCAGCACTTTCTGCGTCCTGTTGGTCAGAAAGTTCATGATCTACAGAGTGAGCTGGTCATCCAGGTGGAAGCGGGTGGAGAGTTTCTCTGCCAGGATGTGTGGTTGTGAAAATGTGCAAAATATAAGAATTTTCATTAATAGTCTCAAATTTTTGGACCCCACTGTTTATACAAAGTGAACCTTTCCATATTTGACAATATAACTTTTGATTAATTCTTAATTATGATTCATTACATAAATAGATGCAGAAAACAAACAAAACATCTGATTAACAACTTAACAACAATTGTTCCCTCCTTTGGCTTATATAACTATCTCTGTACATGTCAAATTATATACCTGATCAGTGTTAGTGTCAAAATTAAATGTTGTAAATAATAATCTAGTATAGCAATATTATCATGTCACACTTGATAAAACTCATTTTACTGAGGCAATTTTTGAGACTGAATGGATGGGAAACTCTGGGACAAAGGGCACAAAAAACTATGTGGAGAAAAAAAGAAACCAGGAACAAGAACCAGGACACAATGTACAAAAACAAGAAAGGCCGAACAAACTTATAGCAAAAGAAAAAACATTGGAGACAAGGTGTTGGCTGACTAACCCTTGCCACTAATTCTGTTTTGGAGGGTCCAGTCTACCTGGATTCTTATCATGCTCGATCTTCACAGTGTGTATAACGAACAAACACATGTATGTACTATAAGTGTATAGTAATGCAATTTGCACTAAATAATGCTCCCACTGCATTATATGGAATTGCAGGGTTATCGATTACCTTCACAATAAGCATGTATTTTGAGATTTATAAACATATGTTTAGCTTGTTTTACAACAGTTGTTGATTCGTTTCTGTGTCAACCTGTCACAACCTGCAGGACGATGGAGATGAGAACAGAGGTTGTGAGTGAAAACAAGAAGGGTTTTATTAAATAAATGATGACCAAACTGAAAACAAACAAGATGATGGGGAATTAAAACAGGACCGGTAAGGGAAGACAGAGGCATAAACTACACTGGGAAGCAATGTTAATGACTTGTCTGGGACGACAATACTGGGAGGACCTTAAATGCAGCAGGAATGAGATGCAAACAGGAAATAGGTGAAGGTGACAGACATTAGGAGCAAGAACAGGAGGTAAGGTTACCACACACCGGGCGCGGCCAAATATAGCCACACTAGGGGGGTAAAAAACAGAAGGGGCATGGTAAATGGTGGTGGTGCAGGAAGAAGTGCTACCGTTCAGCAACCGGAGGGTTGCAGGTTTGTGCCCTGGTTCCTCCTGACCCCATCAAAGTGTCCTTGAGCGAGACACTGAACCCCAAATTGCTCCTGGAGAGCAGGTTAGTGCCTTGCATGGCAGCCTCCACCACCAGGATATGAATGAGACCGTGAATGGGTGAATGTGAGGTAAAATTGTAAAGCACTTTGAGTGCTCGTCGGAGTAGAAAATGCGCTATATAAATGCAATCCATTTACCATAAACGACATGACATGAACTTGTGTGAGGTCTGTATCTTGGAACAAAACTTACACATGACTAATTTGAATTATTTAAAGTCTAAACATAATGCCATTTAAATAACATTGATATCCTCATATTTAAAATGAGGATACAGTATGATACAAGATCACATTGTAGAAATAAGTACAGGTATCATCATTTTTACGCAATCAGTCACATTTGAAGTAATTTGAAGAAGCCAATGAGCTAGCAGAACTTCAGAATATAATGCAGGCAGTGTAGGTATTTCCCAGGGCTGGCTCTAGCTATAGGCAGTTTCCCTGGGCCAGCAGTGTTTTTGATAGAGCAATCTTCAAAGTTATGGAGACACTGCGCTGTAAAATTGGTGCCATCATTCGGATGAGACGTAAAACCAAGGTCCAGACTGTCTGAGGTCATAAATGCTCCCTGGGCGTCTTTCGAAAGAGTAGGGGTGGTACCTAAAATTGCCCACTGTGACCTTATCAAATCTGGTCTCAAAATCATCCGCTATATCTAACTGGAAATTCTCTCCTGCCCCTTCACCACCTTAGCCATCGTGTGGTGAGCATACTGGCACAGAGTGGCTGCTGCATCATTTACGTGGGTGCTACATATTTGTGGTGGTTGAGGTGGTGCCCCATTGCCTCTGTAAAGCACTTTGGATGTCTAGAAAAGCCCCATATAAATGTAACATTCATTCATTCAGAGGATGCATATAGATAAATGTGTAATGGCCTGACATGACCACCAGGGGGCAATTCAGATATTCTTGCTGCAGTTCCCTGGCTTACTAGATAAGATAAGATAAGATAAGATAAGATAAGATAATCTTCATTGTCATTGTCCCTTGGCAACAAAATTGCGAAAGTGCAGGCGACTAAATGTGAGGCATGAGTAATAAAAGTATTTAAAAATATACAAATTGCACTGACATATACAAATTGCACTGTCTGCACTAACTATACATATTGCTCTGATAGAGAGTAGAGAGTGGCACTGCACTTCTT